GTGTGAGTGAGTGAGAACTTTTTTAAAGTGTCAAAAACCTTATAGCCTGGAAATAATACACCATACTAATTAGGGGACACTGCTAAAAAGCTATACTAATACTAATATTAATACAATAAAAAATAAATGACTTGAAGGGCATTATGGGCAGCATAAGATGCAGCCCTTACAGCCGGTGTCCATTAAGCGAGTTATATCCCTTTTGCGAATATAGTTTGTAAAAGCCTGCAGTGTCTTGGCTGGTCTGTCAGCCATAGGCAGTTTGTCCCATAATTTGGGTCCTACATATCGCAGAGAGTACTTCCCATAAGTAACAGTGTTGAATCTAGGAGTAAATTAAAGGAAGCTCTAAGCTATTTACAAAACCTTACCTCCCGTGCTACGCAGAAGCCACCAATGTCACATCCAGAAACTGGCTGAGCGGACAATCCGATACCCAGGATCAGTGGAATGTTCATTTGCAAGAATTCCCAGCTTGATCTGCTGTCACCTGCGCGTTTACCATGAGATAACATCCGGTGAAATCACTGGTTTAGTGACCAGCGGTCAAAGTGAAAACAGTTGGTTTGGTGGTGGGCTGTGATTCTCGCGGGCGCAGAAATCTGGTTTCACCCGATGTTCTCTAACGCCGACCTACCTGAATTACCCATACGCTTACAAGTATACGTCATATTCCAAAATGGCTTTCATTTTAATATTCCATTGTTTGCATTCAAATCAGCCCTTCTTGCCTCGTTCTTACGTCAAAATTCAAAAAACTTTTGCCTTAAACGAGACATGAAGGGGTGATGAGAATATATAAATGGTGGCAGGAGCCCATAACCGGGAACGTACAACTGCAATGTATGTGAGTCAAGGCCTTCTCACAGACCAAGCTGGTTTTAGTTTGATTTTACCGCGAAATCAGTCTCCCACAGGAGCCTTGGTCTCTCACAGGAGCCTCGCCAGCAAATCAGAAGCTTTGCATAATTAATTGCTTGGACGCGTACGGGCTGGAACTGAACTTTTCGCGGGAAAAACTCGCCTTAAATAGCTCGCTCTGTAAAAACATCATGACGTAAAACGTGCACACACTCTATAGACGAAGTCAAGGCTGGACAGAGCTGTTTCGAAAGACCTGTACCGCGAGGCCGTTTTCTCGCCGAAATTCGGATCTGCTGCTCGATTTTCCCCTCTAACGCAAACAAGGATAGTCTGTTTGTCCCCTTTTCCCGTCGGCTTGGAAAAATCTTCCTCCTTTCCGCTCCAATTCGAACGATTTTTGCTTCGCTACTAGAGCTTTCAAATTTCCTCCACATCCTGTTACCGTCCTTTCGCCTATGGCATAGCGATCGCTCCAGCGTAACAACTGCGACTTACCAGACGGATACACAGTCGAAAACTTCCGTTAAAAATTACCACTCTCCCGATGATCTCGCGGGGGCATTTTGACGCCTCATTGTAATGTAAGACCACTAATGTTGATTTCAAGCTGTGCTGTAGTCGAAAGGACGGTCACAGGGTGCGGAGAAACTGGCCCTCTGGTGTAGCAACTGCATGCTATTGTTTTTAGGGATAGATGAATTGCTTCTGTCATTTGCTTTATTGTTATCTTGAAGGGTAGCAAGTAAGGTGGCCCACCACTGTCAAGGCAAAGCAAAAAGTCACGTACAAGTTACCGTACAAACAAAACGTCACGGCACGACAAACTTTACTCACGGTAAGACCGTTAGCTGACGGCAAAACAAAGTTTACTGACCTTTACTAACTGCAAAAAAAAAATTTACTTACGGCAAAGCAAAGAAAGCGAGTTGGTCAGCGGTTGGTCAGCGGTTGGTCAGCGGTTGTTAGTTGCATTTGAAATGGTACGTCGAGTAACAGTAACGCACCGCTCGCTCGGAAACCGCCATTTTCAGTGCATTGTCCCTTATCTCGAGCTCATGATGTTTTGCAGCGCTTGTGGTTCGTTGGTCAATCAAAATGCCTACTTCTGCAAAGGCTCCGGTAAAGGTACGTTTCTTAATCTAAAGTATTCGTATTTGCATCTCTTTTAGTTTCGAATAACGATAGGCACGTGAGAAGTCGGACAAACTGCTCGGTCCGGCAGTAATTCACTGCCCTTTTACAGACCCTATTCATAAATGGTTGCCTATTAAAAATGATTTTGTTGGTATTAAAATTAGCCCAACTAACCTCGTGTAAAAGTAAAATTCTTTTAAATTATCAACTCAAAAACAATTTTGTTTTACCGTGAGTTAATGGTGTTCTGCCGTGGGTTAATTTTGTTTTGCTCTCAGATAACATTGTCTTGCCGTGAGTAAAGTTTGCAGTGCCGTGACTTTTTGTTTTGCCGTGACAGTTGTGGACCACCGTAAAGCAAGCCAATGATGTGACTTTACCAGAACTGCTACATGACTGGCTTATGTAGGTTCAATGGAGGTTCATAAGGTTCATACCTGTCCACAGTCCAGCATAGCGATGAATGCCGACGAAGCCGCCCCGTGTGATGATAAAATGACGTTCGTTTGGCTTTAGACTTTCCAGTCCCTGGTAGGTGGCTTTACAGAGGTTGTCACTATACAAGCAGCGAAGTTTTGCAAATGGTACCTTGTCTTCAGCATCGCTAGCGTTTTCAGTCCTATGACGTAAATACAACACGAAATTTTTGGAAATCGTACTATTGCTCCGACAGTTCACAAGTCCTAAGCCATGCCCTATACTTGCAACTTACCTGGATTCTTCGTTATGACTAAGCATTAAATCCATGGGAAAAGATAACAATGGACAGTCTGGCTGATGAACGCTGGACTTCATCGCAGGTGTGGTCATATCTTGCCACACAAAATCCAACCCCCATTCCAACAGGTCACGGTACTGCTCGCCCCACCACTTCTGTACGTCCTTCCGTCCCAGGTCAGGATAGTGTCCCCATGTAAGGTGACCACCCCCATAGTTGACGTTTCCAATGTATGGGTCATGGGTGCCACTGCCATCTTCACGGGTATTCATTATAAAGATTCCGTCTTCTTTGCCGGTGTCCAAGGCTTTGTACGGGCTGTTCTTGCCATTTTCATCAACATTACAGCTGATTATGGGTGTGATGTTGATACTGCATTTGAAGCCCTGCTCATGCAAAGTATCAAAGATTTCTTTGGGGTTCGGGAAATTTTTCTCGCTATTCGTGAATGTGCGATAGTGATCCTGCAAATAGGGTATGCAATTAATCTCAATTAGTAATTTATTATTACTAACGCTACACTTAAATTGTTAGACTCAACTACAGCGGTTTTTAAATGGCCAATCAGGACACAGAGAACATCAAATGAGCAAACCAAGTGCATGCAGCCGTCACTAAGCTCCTGATGTAAAAAGTTCACCAAACAAAAAATTGGGCTTTTCACTATTGCTGTCAAGGTTGGCTCTTATTTAACTCGCCGGCGTCCACTCGGCGTGGTCGTAGGGACAGTTGTGTCAGCTAAGTGCTGGAGCTTGAAATGCAACGATAGATAAATGGGACAGACTTTTCCCTGGTGTAACACCGCCATACGTTTTCATTAGGTAAAATTGTTACCGGCATCGATGTTCGTGCGAAAAGGCAAGTCGGTGGCCTTGGGAAGTGGGAGTAGTGATTCTCACATGCCTAAGCATTAAGAAAATGTTATGAACAGCGATATTCATTAAGAGTAATTTAAAAGTGTGGCAAAGCTGAAAACACAACAGCTTTAATTTACGCTGCTGCCATTCACGTCTCAAGAAGGCTTAAGGCTGAAATCTATTTGTCGACCTGTCTTGTTGCCAAGGATTCCAAAAGTCCAGTCTCTCCCTTTTGGGATGAGGTCAATTGCCTTTATCAAATGTGCAGTGCAAAAAAAATTCTCTGTTGTTTCAGGCGAGTCTCGCTTGGCTCCAGTTACATGTAATCTTGATTTCGAGTTTGGATTGCCTTAGTTGATTGGCTACA